GGGGGCACAGAGCAGGACCACCCAGGGCACTGCCTGCTGGTGGCACCCTCAGTCTTCACTGCCTGGGTGCCTGGTAATTTCCCTGTAAATGTGTCAATTCATGGCCATTTTGATCTGCCTGTGCAGTTTGATTTCTTGCTGCTATAACACATACCGGAGATAAAGAACGAGGAGGACAGGGCTATTCGGTTCTCAGTGGAGGGTTCAGGCCATGACCTGGTGTCCGTGGCTCTTGGCACAGGAGAGGCAGCTCCTCTGGGAGGAACATGTGGGACAGTTTGGCCTGTGGTGGCCAGAAGGCAAAGACAGCAAGCTGGACACACACACTCTCTGCTGAGGGCGGCTCCAATAAAACTCCACAGGGCGCTGGCTCTTACAAAGCCAGGCAGGGAACACATTCTGGGAGGCTGAGGCAGGAGTATCGAGTTTGTGGCCAGCCTGGACCACTAAACAATTTAAAGAGAACCTGTCTCAAAAGAAAAAGAATTTTAAAAGAGTTACAAATATAGCTCCGTGTGAAGGCTCTGGGTTCCCCACCTCATGATGGCACCGCACCGGAGAAGAAGCCGGCAACACATGGGCTTGGCGGCTTTCCAGTTCCAAACCTTAACAGCACTGAAAACAAATATTCATCATCTCTGCGGATAATTTTTGTGTTGACTACTTTGAAAGATAAATGTGCATAAATTCAGGAATTTGGTATAATCATAAATAGGGACTAAATGCTAGGCATAGTGTTGTGAGCCTACGATCCCAGCACACAAGAGAGGCTGAGGCGGGAAGATTGCTGCAAGTTTGAGGCCAGCCTGGGACATGGTAAGAACCTGCCTCAAGAAACAGACAAATAAACAATCAGACAAACAAAAAGTAGGAACAAAAAAAAATGCTATTTTTAATTATTAAATACATCACTGTTTTCTAAACTAACTACTGAATGCTATCAGTGCTATTACTTTTATAACATTAGTGTGAGAAGAAAATTGAATGGATCTAGTCCACAGGCATCCATTTATTAGAATAGAACACTGCTTAAAAAGCTGGGCGTGGTGGTGCACACCTGTAATCCCAGCACTCTGGAAGGTGAGGCAGGAGGATCGCTGTGAGTTCGAGACCAGCCTGGGCTACATAGTGAGTTCCAGGTCAGTCTCAACTACATAGTGAGACCCTGTCTCAAAACAAACAAACAAACCAACAAACAGAATAGAACACTGCTTGTTCACCATCTGTTGTGTCACTTAAAGCTGGATAGAGCAAATAAGGAAATGATAGTAAAGGAAGTAAACCCTGAAATGAAGGTAGAAGGGCAGCCCTGAGGCAGGAGATTAGGTTTTTGGGCTCAGGGAAGACTCTGTCAATTGCAGAGATCCAATAGGAGTGCAGAAAGTGCCCAAGCCCTGCACCAGGACCAATCAGAGAGAGCTACCTTCAAATCTTCTGGCACAAGATCAAGCAGGTTTTTTTCTTCTTTTTTTGGTACCGGAGATTGAACTCAAGGCTTTGCGTTTGCGAGGCAGGCAACAAAACCACTGAGCCAAATAAATGCCCTGGCCCTCGAGCAGGTTTCTGATAGGTCAGTTTAGAGGCCCTGAGGGGTGGGGGATACAGAACATGGCCGCCAATGGGCTCCCTGCACTGTGCTCTCTTCCACAGTGGTCACTCTCATCCGGAAGTGTACTTCTCTTCCTACTTAAAACTGGCCCACACCCACTCTACAGAGCATGTTTCTTTCCTACCCTTAATAAATGTGAAACCTCGCTACCTTTTTTGTGCTTGTCTTGATCTATTCTTTTTTCAGGATAACAGGCATCTGGTAAGAATCTCTCTAGAAAGAGCTCACAGCACCCCAAAATCCTGGTAACCTAACTGCTTCTAAAGAAAGTCATTTTCCTATTTCTATGAACATTTGCTGGTGTTAAGATGATGTCGTAACATTTCTGTGGCGATAAGAACAAAGATGACCATTTTTACAGCTCAAGGGCCAAGAATACAAGGGACAGAAGAGAGGCACAGCTGGGTGGCTGCCTCCTCTCCTCGCACCCTCTGTTGTGAAGTGGCTGAAACAGCCTTTCTCATGGTTGTGCAATCCACGCAGTTGCCCCCTGCTGAATGCTCGCCCTGAACCATGTTATCCAGGCCTCTATAAGGTGGGGGACAGGCGCCCCAGAGAAAGGCGCTGCGCGGGCTGGGAGATTTGGGAGAATGCAGAGCGTAACAGGAGCTGTGGAAGAGAAAGTGTGTGGACCTGCAGCCAGGCAGCAGGGGTTCCAGTTCACACCTGGGGCCAGGGTGGGGCTCAGCTGTAGGGCTCCCGCCCAGATACCTGAGAGGCCGGGTTCTGTCCCCAGCACAGGGGTTCGGTGACTTCACACCTGCCTCTCCTAACTGCCCAAGCCCAGCACAGCTACACAGGGTGTCTGAGGACATACCCAGGGTATTCTGTCTGGGTGAAGAATGAGGGCAGTTTTTCTCTTTGTCTATGTCTGTACTTTCCGATTATAGAACAATTAATAAGTATTGGCTGTAGTAACAGGAATAAGTGCGACAGATGTTTACAAAGCTGTCACTCAGGAGCCTGCAGTAGGAGGATTGAAGAGTTCTGGGCCAGCCTGGGCCACATAGTGTGCCCCTATCTCAGACACACAAAGACACAGACACAGACACACACACACACACACACACACACTAAAAAGCTGTTATTCCATAAGATGGCCATTTCCTCCAAAGTTTCAGCTTAAAAAATTCAGTGCCCAAATTCAAAATGTTTGTAACTCTTGTAATTTTCCTTTATTGCATAGGAGTAACTTAATTAAATTCATTAACAAATTTCCAGATTTCTTTCTGCCTTTATGTGGCTACCACATCTTCACCTTTGGAAAGTTACTCAAAATCTCTTTGAGCCTTGGTGTTTTTTTTTTTTTTTTTCATCTCTAAAATCAGGGTGTGACATATGGAACCATATTAGTATGTGCAATTAATACTTGTTAATAAAAAAGTGTTTTTCTTTAAATAATCTGCACATACTGATTAAAACATTTGTTTGCATTCTTCTCCAGGGTGGGCTACAATATATAGAAAGCTCTGATGGTGACAAGCCAAGAATTCACTATCAGGATGTCATACAGGGGGTTGGTCCCTTAGCTTGTGGATGAGCCTAGTGACATCCCACAGTGTTCAAGTGACTGTCACCATTTATATGACTCCATTTTACAGTGGTACTTTGGTGCATGAACTTAGTTCTTTCCATCTTGGAAATGACTGTATTCTCATAACAATAGACAAAGATATCATCTCAATTTTACAGATTAAAAACCCAATGGTATTATACACTATCTTGGTAATAAAAAACTGTGGCACCTAGCTGGGCATGATGGTGGATGTCTGTAATGCCAACTGTTCAGAAGGCCACAAATTCAAGACCAACCCGGGCACTTTGAGACCCTGTCTCAATATAAACAAAGGGGTAGGAATATAGCTCAGTGATACAGTATCCCTGACTTCCACGCCCAGTACAACAAACACAAACACACACACACACATACACACAAAATCTGGGAATCTGAGATCTCATGGGTCTGGTACCAGAGTTTTTGGTCTCAGCACTACCTGCACTTTAGATAATTCTGTTTAGGGCCTGTCTCGTGCATTGTGGGGTGTTCTGTAGCGTTTCTGGCTTGGCCTTCTGGTTGGGAGCTGAGGGCCCATGCATGCGAGTACACCACACTCAGTTGTTCAGGTAGAAATAGCATCAGAAGATAAAGAGGAGGATGGGAGACTCAAGCATATCTGGGAATCGATCTGTCCCTGGAAATGGCGTTTTCCATAAAAAAGTAAACTTTGCCACAGATGAAGATGATGGAGAAAAAGATGATGATTTTGCTGAGGAGGAAACTGAAGAAAATTTCCAGTGAAGACATCCATGAGATAGAAAGGTACTCCAGCCAGCAATGCTCAGAATCGAGCCAGAACGGAAATCACTCAGAACTAGCAACACCAAGATCAGAAGGTCACGATATTTCAAAACAGCAAAAAGTACTGAAACATCAAAAGGACTTAGTTCTGCAGAAGATAAAGCAAACATGCAATCAAGAGTAGAAAAAAAAAAAAAGAGTAGAAAGAGTCGTTTTTCCTTCCAAAGCAGAAGCCAAGTTCATCAATTCTGTGACAAGATACTTCCGGATGACCCACCAGTCCTGTAGGGGTGGGAAAGACTGTTTAAGAAAATAGGGTCTTGCACTGTATTCCAGGCTAGCTTTGAACTCACTACATAGCCTTAAACTCATGGAGATCCTCCTTGCTCAGCCTCCCGAAAGCTGGGATTACAGGCGTTAAATTTTAATTAAAATGAAATGAAGTTTAAAATTCAGTTTCCAAGGCACGTGAGCCATATTTCAAATGCTCGGTAGTGGACACCATATGGGCGGCACAGGGATATGGTAATATTTTCTTCAGCACATAAAGCTTTATTTGCAATGTACAATTTACAAAAAATGCCTTCAGGCTCATTTTGAGAAGCCAGATAAAGTCTCTGGCATTTCTGACACGTGTGCAGAGCTGTGTTATAGAACTGGATATGAGCTCGCTGCGAGCTAAAACCCTAGCACTGAGTGCCTGGTACACCTCGGTATCCAGGGGCAATTACCGGGTTAAGCGGAGCTGGCCCGCAAGGAATTAAGGATATCAGGAAACCCACAGCAGACAAGTCCGTGCAGGAGTTGCAAATAAATCCTAACCCGCAGGAATCCGAAAACAGGAAAGTCCACGATGCAGCAGAGGCCGCCGGAGACAGTAGGAGGCGTCAAGCCCCTCCAGCCCAAAGCCCAGACCTAGGCCTGCCCAGGCCCCGCCCACCCCGGAAGCGCTCCGGGGCCCCCCTCTACGCCGTCCCGCCCCCTAGCGACCTCCGGGGCAGCCTGTCCGTGCTCGCCCTGCCCCTTTTCCCGCCCCCGCTCCGGGCTCCTCAGCCTTCCAGCCCCACCGGGAGATCTGCGCCTGCGCAATGGAGCAAGCGGTCAGCTGACTGCTCTGGCAGACACGTGATCGCCTCCGTGGGCGCCGGGGTCCAGCAAGCCGTGAGGCCTGTTCCCTGGCCGGGAGTGATGGAGCGCTGAGCAGTTAACATCTGTCAGCCCGTCTGTGTACCTTGTCTGGCGCCTGCTGGGTTCGTGAGCGGTGGCCGTGGCGGGTGGCTGGAGTGCGTCGGGTATCTCTAGAGGACTGGCGGGCCAGGC